AGAGCATATATATATATATATATATATATATATATATATATATATATATATATATATATATATATATATATATATATATATATATATATATATATGTAAATTAGGTCTTCTGGTTGGCCCCAACGATCATATTAGATGAATATCGAATGATTTGGATGAAGTGATTATTTTTGAGCAACCAGTGGATATACTCATTCAAAATTGATATCTTATTTCACAGGATTAATGTGTTCCATTGAATTCTGGAATTTCACAAATTGTCACCTTCCCATTCTTAAGCAAAACGTGCTCTCAAAATGTCGTGTGTTTCTGCGACTCGATTTCAAAAGGCTATCGTTGATAGTGGCAAAACTAGCTGTCTTGGCAGTCATGCTGGTTGTAACCGGCCAATTATTAAAAAAATATTAAAATAAGCATTATACTTATAGTCTTCTTGCAAACAGTATGCTCTTACGTAGTTGCGCCAAGATACGGCACATGGCTCCCATTTACATTTGTTAAATAGTTCAAAATCTTCGGCTTCCCGACTTTTTTAAGGAAAAGGAAAACAACAATAAAAAAACCCAACAAAATTTTCCTTCCATTACTGGCCTGTTACCAAGCAACTGTGCTCTTCATATACACGTGTTATATTAATTCTTATTCATGCTTTTTCCGAAGAGTATGACTAGCGTTATTATTTTATGCTGGAAACACATGGATTCTCATTGGATACTTGCCGCTTGCATGCATGCATGCACAGTATGGCCGTTTAGAGTGGTTTGGTCATGTCATTCTCCATCCGCATGACTAAAATCCTCACTTATAATAAATACATGCAAATTCAGAAACACTGTTCGATTCTGCATTAATTTCTGCACAATAAACAGCAATAGTTCGTTTTTTTATTCAAAAACGGAACTGTAATATTCGGCTTTCAATACTTTCAAACGCGATTTTCGTAGCAGGCGTCTCTAATCAATTTATAGAGAACTTTTTATCGTGTGTTCACCTCACAGGGGCAATATAATTCTTTGGCGCTCAATGAGTTTTTTACCTTGTGTGCAACATAATCCCTTTTAATTGTGTAAATGATATATAGGTATTTAATTTGTTCGTATGATGTTTATACATCATATAAAAATGCATGTATATATATATATATATATATATATATATATATATATATATATATATATATATATATATATATATATATATATATTTGTGTTTGTGTGTTCATATACTAAGTCTAGTACATGTTGTAAGCTTGGATATATGTGAAGTAAAGATTGTTGCTCAAGCTTGTATTCAGAAAATATCTGAACTCCCAACGGGAATCGAACCCGTGTCTCCCGATTGCCGGTTTGGTTGTTTTACCACTATACTATAGGGATTCAGACAGCAATGCGATGTTAACTAGAGACCTGGTTAACTGAGATCTTTACTTCACATATATATATATATATATATATATATATATATATATATATATATATATATATATATATATATATATATATATATATATATATATATATAACCTGATGATTGTCACAAATAGTGACATGAAACTTAAAGTAGCGAGAAATTGAAACATTTTAAGATAACAAATTAATTCGCTCTGCTCAATATTTGTAGTATTGAGCACTCTTTTATATATATATATATATATATATATATATATATATATATATATATATATATATATATATATATATATATATATATATATATATATATATAAATTAAGGTACAACAAATCAACAAAATCCACTAGGCATCTTTATTACTAAATAGTTTCGTACCACAGTATGTGGCACTCTTCAGATAAATTGACCTAATGACTATAGACTAAAACTTACAAGGTTATATGTACAAGTGGATGAGACATGAAACTTAATCCTATTTACAAAGCACGCGATTTAATAAACATGTTATATGATAAGCTGACAGGACGCGGAAAGATTAACACACCGCGGTATATTTAAATGTCTAGCTTTTAAATGTTACTTAAAAAGAATTTTTTATTATGCCTACATGCTGATACTAACTCATTACGTTTGTTTAAAGTGGCCATTTTAGGCTGACAAATAATAAAGTATTTCTCCCATAAACACAAATTACATCTATTTGAAGCACAGTTATAAGGCTTAGCTCGTTTTAATAGTTTCCATTTGATTGTATAATGGATGTTTCGATTTTTCAATTCCCACACATATATTTGCTAAGTTCAGTAGCCGTTTGTCAAAAGAGCTAAATGATGCTTTATGGTTCGCAAGTCTTGTTTTGAACGAGTTTTCAGTAAGGCCGACATATGTTTGGGGAGGTCTATTGGTAGTTTTGTCCTTAGTAGTGACTGTGGCTTGATATACAACCGATTCGGTGATACATTTATTAGACAGTGGGCACAGTTCTTTACTGTTTTTAGGGCAACTGCACATGTCGGGACTATTCGTGGTGAAAGCTGTAAACAGCGTGGATTTGTTGTGTCCATCGATAGTCTGTTTAATGTTTGGCATACAGCTGTAGCTGATCTTGACTGTATTACGGTTGAATATTTTGTGTAATGGGTGATCTGCGGGAAATTCCTCGTCAATTATCTTCAAGAAAGTCTGGCCAAAAACAATAAAGAACTGTGCCCACTGTCTAATAAATGTATCACCGAATCGGTTGTATATCAAGCCACAGTCACTACTAAGGACAAAACTACCAATAGACCTCCCCAAACATATGTCGGCCTTACGGAAAACTCGTTCAAAACAAGACTTGCGAACCATAAAGCATCATTTAGCTCTTTTGACAAACGGAACGCTACTGAACTTAGCAAATATGTGTGGGAATTGAAAAATCGAAACATCCATTATACAATCAAATGGAAACTATTAAAACGAGCTAAGCCTTATAACTGTGCTTCAAACAGATGTAATTTGTGTTTATGGGAGAAATACTTTATTATTTGTCAGCCTAAAATGGCCACTTTAAACAAACGTAATGAGTTAGTATCAGCATGTAGGCATAATAAAAAATTCCTTTTAAGTAACATTTAAAAGCTAGACATTTAAATATACCGCGGTGTGTTAATCTTTCCGCGTCCTGTCAGCTTATCATATAACATGTTTATTAAATCGCTTGCTTTGTAAATAGGATTAAGTTTCATGTCTCATCCACTTGTACATATAACCTTGTAAGTTTTAGTCTATAGTCATTAGGTCAATTTATCTGAAGAGTGCCACATACTGTGGTACGAAACTATTTAGTAATAAAGATGCCTAGTGGATTTTGTTGATTTGTTGTACCTTAATTTAAATATGCTCTGGTTTTCCATTGAGCACTTTGCCAAAAGTTTTTATAACCAACAAAACCAAATTTTATATATATATATATATATATATATATATAGCTTAAGATTTTGGTTTACGAAACACAAACAGTGCTCAATACCATATAGACAGAGCGTAATATAGTTTTTCGTTTTACCTCAAAAAACCACAACAGTCTGTTCAGTTCATCCGTATAGGAATCATGATCCAACAGTCTGTTTCATCCGTATAGGAATCATGATTCCACAACAGTCTGTTTCATCCGTATAGGAATCATGATTCCTATACGGATGAAACAGACTGTTGTGGTTTTTTGAGGTAAAACGAAAAACTATATATATACCGGGTGGCCCAAAAAAAAGTACTCCTGTTTGATTCGTAATAACATCTAAACAAGTATAGCTTTAAAAGAGAAATAACTTGCATCAAATAGAGGAAGGACTAACTTAGACTTTGATATATTACAGTTGTATTTCACTTAAAAATTCACGGAGATATTAATCTTTAAATTCGGGAGGATATTTCTGGATGTGTCTGAAATATGCAAAAACCGGCGTATCAAATATTAATCAAGATTTGCCCGACTGAAACATGCACTATTACCAGTAAATAAATGACACTTGACAAATTGTTTATTATGAAACAAAGTATTATTATATCTACAAAATACAAGCAAGATTCATTCGTCCGAAATTTGCGTGTGTTCCTAGCACGAATACGTTTCCTTATTTCATGAGACCACTGCATCGCGAAGGATCGTCATTGGATCGTTCGTAGTTCTGAATTAGGGCATGCTGTCACAACGGCATTGTGAAGCTCTTCTAACTTCTGCAACGTTCTGAAATCTTGTTAAGAACACCCAAACTCTTTTGCCGTTTCTTAATCTTGGCAAGTTCATGGAGTAAACCGAGAATTATATGAAACACAATCAAACCATACAACTCCATAAGACATAACAATTAAGCAACTCCCCAGAGACATGCAACATTTTTGGAACAAAACGTAACAAAATAGTAGCGTTGATACGGTGATGTGTATTTGCAAAAAGCAATATTATTTCCTTCAATAAAGAATATTCATCCTGCTCTAACCGAGAAATAATCTACTCAGTCTGTTTGAACCCATTAAAAACATAAAAAAATTAGGATATTTAAGAATACGAAAAATTTAAGCGCCTGCCTTCCATGGTCAGTCTTTCATGTACATTTAAGTTTGCAAAGACCTAATATTAAATACTTGCATAATTTCGAACGTTCATATTTCAGGAAACAATGAGCTAAGACTTACATGTAAGATGTCTAAATCTACGCCATATCCCTTACAAACCCTAACGATAATTCGCTGAAATACAAGTTAGCCTGATATGTCATTAAGCAAACAAACGCTGGAGTTAATATTTGATATGGCGATTTTCGCTAATTTTGACACATCCCAAAATAGGCTCCCGATTTTGAACATTTAATATCTCCGTGAATTTTTAAGTTAAATACAACTGTAATATATCAAAATCTAAGTTAGTCATTCCTCTATTTGATGCAAGTTATTTCTCTTTAAAAGCTTTACTTGTTTAGAAGTTATTACGAATTAAACAGGAGTACTTTTTTTTGGGACACCCGGTATATATATATATATATATATATATATATATATATATATATATATATATATATATATATATATATATATATATATATATATATATACACTGGATCCAGAAAAGTTTGACCTTCGAATATATATATATGTCGGCCATTTTGAATTTTCTTGGGTTAATTATACGCGAACGTATATATCATGCAAATGTCGCTCGCAACGTATTGTATATTGCAATATTATTCCAACAGCTCAAATGAATAAAAGAATCATTGATTGATGTCTTTGCACATAATCATAACGGCTAGTATAGGAAATGATCATGAACATTTGGAAATGAACATAATGACCTGCTTCGCCAGGTCACGTATGCTGCGCGTGCTGAGTTTCAGGGGATGAAATATCCGGGATGATATAACGTTAAAATTTCCGTTGGCAAAATATAATAATTCTGGACGTAGGTTACAGCTATAAAATAAGCACAAGTGAATACGAAAGAATAAACAAAGAAATTCATCGAGGCATGCTAATAAGCGTCTAAATCTCTAAGGATGCATGCAAAAGAATAAATTACGACATGCCAAAAAGATCAGTCAGGTTCCAAATTGTGACAAGAGTTAATTAGCTAACAACCCTCAAATGTTCATTAGATAGCTACTACAAATATGTGTAAGAACTTCAAGCAATGATCCTTTACTTATTTCAGCTGTTGGAATATTGCAATATACAGTACGTTGTGAGCGACATTTGATGTATGCGTTCGCGTATAATTAAACCAAGAAAATTCAAAATGGCCTACATATATATATATATTCGAAGGTAAAACTTTTCTGGATCCAGTGTATATATATATATATATATATATATATATATATATATATATATATGTATATATATATATATATATATATATGATGATTCCTATACGGATGAAACAGACTGTTGTGGTTTTTTTGAGGTAAAGCGAAAAACTATATATATATATATATATATATATATATATATATATATATATATATATATATATATATATAGTTTAGATTTAAGCATGGCGACTGACGAAGATGATTTGATATCAGACGGTAAATTGTTCCATCAAAATACAATTCTGTTAAAGTATGAGTTTCGGAAGAGGGAGGTTTTGCACAGGTTTGGACGAAGATCACCAGAACTGGAACGAGTGGAGTGGTGAAGAGTTTGGGTTATATACTGATTGATGTCAATTTCGTACATCCCGTATTTACATTTGTAGAGGAATATGTCTTTAATTTCATGCCAGTATGAAAGGGGAATTAGATTTAGTTTTTTCAAGCGACCAACCTATGACAATTCATAGTCCTGAAGAATAAACGCTGTTGCTCGGCGTTGAATTCCTTCGAGATGAAGCAGATCAGCAGACGCACCTTGAGGAGCCCAGACTTCGCAACAGAACGATCGATAAGTGAGAGCGGACCAGAGACAAATACAGAAGGCGGCGAGCATCCACGTCATGAGTGAGGTGGAAACAATTGCGGCGCAGAAACCCAAGCATTCTGTTGGCTTTAGAAACGATATTGATGATGTGTTGGGACCATTTTAAATTGACGCTCACCAGGATACCCAAATAATAATAATAATAATAATAAAAATAATAATAATAATAAACACTTTATCTAAACAGGGTGACTAGAGTTACACGAAGTAATTTTCGTCTAGGCCCTAAGTAATATACTGTCTATTAATACTAAGACTATAAATACCAATATAAAGAGTTACTAAATCTAAAAATATACACATAGGGTTAAAAGTGATCGTTAATTATTATAAACACAAGTCAGATAGAAAGCATCGAGCATCTCACACTATCAGGTAATAGATTCCACTCATTAGCTGCCAAGAAGGCAAAAGTACGTTTACCAGCATTAGTGTTTACTTTTGGAAGCTTCAAGTTCTTATTTGTGGAGCCACGAGTATTTACATTATGTACTTTGCTAAATGGTAAAAGTAAACTAGTGATATATACTGGCACGAAAATATCGTATTCTCTCGTGAACTGGAAGCCATCCAAGTTCCAAAAATAAAGGCAGTGAAGGTGCCTTATGATCACGATCTAAAATCAGTCTGGCAGCTCTCTTTTGAAGCCGATGAAGTCTGTCCAAGTTTTGGGTAGATGTATTCCCCCAAATCACACAACAGTAATCCATCAAGGAGAGAATTAAACATCGGTAGAAGGCTTTACGAGCGTTTAGTGGCAGATGGTGACGTATTCGTCGTAATATTCCTAATCTTTGAGATATCTTTTTACACAACAGTTCGATATGCACAGACCAGCTCAAAGTTTGATCAAACTGAATACCAAGTAATCTTCCATCAAGCACAGTTTCAATTTGGAAATCATTTATAGTGATGTTTAAATCCTGTGGGATCTCAGACACTTTCTTGGTTGATGCTATAAACATTGCCTTAGTTTTCTGTTCGTTGGGAACCATTTTATTCGTTTCGGTCCATTGTATAATTGGTAACATTTCGGTACTGAGTTGTTCTTGTACACCCTGGACTGAACAACCAGATACATACTGAGTAGAATCATCTGCAAACATATCTATTTGGGTGTCATTCAGATGTAATGGAAGGTCATTCATATGGATAATAAATAACAAGGGCCCTAGAATTGACCCTTGCGGTACACCTGATTTAATGGATGTTTAGAAGAAAGCTCATTTTCGATTTTCACTTGAAATTCTCTGTCTTTGAGGTAAGAAGTAAACCAAGACAATGCTTGATCATCCAAACCATACAAGTGCAATTTCTGGAGCAGTAATGAATGGTCAACAAGATCAAAAGCTTTACGTAGATCTAACATTGTTAAGCCGGAAAACTTCCCTTGGTCCATGTTGCGAAGCAGGAAGTCAGTTAGCATTATTAATAGTGATTGGCATGAGTAGTTTTTGCGGAATCCTGGTTCATTGTTGGAGATTAGCTGGTTAACTGTTAAATAAGAATATAATATCTCACTCACATGTCTTTCAAGTACTTTTGATAAAAGAGGTAGAACTGAGATGGGACGATAACAGGATCTGTCCGTAAGATCTCCACCTTTAAATATGGGCGTGACCCTGGCACGTTTCCAACGTAATGGCACTGAAGACATTGAAATACTTAAGTTAATTATTCTTGTAATATGGGGTGCTATAACTGACGCAGCACAACCAAGAATTTTAGCTCCCAGATAATCAAGATTGACAGCTGCATTCGTCTCAAATTTAAGCAGTCGGCTCTTCACAACGTCTACGTCAACCGTTGGAATACTGAACTTAGTGTCACTTAAACATTTGGACTCGATAAATTTCTTTAGTTTATGAAAGCTTGTTTTAGGTATAGGTGTTTTAACCATAAATTCAGATTTAATATTAGCATAATACCTACAGAAAGATTCAGCTATCCCATGTGAGTCCTTGATCTCGACACCATCCTATTTTATTGATCTTGGAGAGGAGGACTTTTTATCATGTTTCAAGATGCCATTAGTCGAGTTCCACATTTTCCCACGGTGACCTTCGTTTTCTTCAATCGATGATCTGTAAAATTCCCGTTTGCTTCTATTTATTAGCCAGACTACTTCGTTGCGCACTTTACGGTAATGTCGCCACTCCTTAGTGTTTCTGTTGGCTTTACCAGAACCATTAATGGCCTCTTTAAGGAGCCGATCTCGTTTCTTCAATATAGACAAGATTTCTGGTTTCATCCAAGGGGGCTGGCGCCATAATTTAACACGTTTCTCTTTCATAGGCGCATGATCATTGATATGGTTATTGAATAATCGCTCAAATGTATCTAAGGCTGCATCCGGATCAGTGTCAATGGCAGCCAACTCTTGCCAGGGAACGTTCTCAAGGTCCTTGATAAACTTAGCGCTATCAAACATCTTAAAACAACGATATTTAATAGTTAAATGAGACTTTGCTTTGCATAGTCCCCCATTAAACTTGCGAATAAAGCAAACAGGAAAGTGATCTGATAACCCAATTTGCGGAACAGAAATACGCACAATATTGTCCTCTGTCGTACACCAAATATGATCAAGGCAGGTGTTACTAGGTGGTCTTGTTGTAAAATTAACTAGTTGGGTCATGGACATACCATAAAGTCCCTGAACTAGTTGATGATTCATAGCAGACGGATCATGCATGTTAATGTTCAAGTCACCAAGCGTATGAAATTCTTTGCCCTCAAAGTAACCTTGAGATAGGTTATCTTATCACTCACCCAAATTACTCTGTGTGGAGGAAGACTTTATAAGTTGCTGGTTTAGGAAGTAGTCTTGAGGTGAAACGGAGGTTTTCTTTCGTGAAAATTTGAGGGCAACACTCTTCTTCCATTGAAATTTAAGTCCCACGTCTTAGACCATTGGTGTAGGGAATATAGGTCATCCTGAAGAAGATCTCTACCTCGAGGTTGGGTTATTTGACGATAGCATTTGCTGTCATCAGCAAACATGGGCACTGCATGTGCTATGATTCGCTGCCTTTGGGAGGACGTTTCCGTAAATCAAGAACAAAAGTGGGCCGAGTACGCTGCCTTGTGGTACCCCTGATGTTACATTAAGAAACGAGGATGACACTCCGTCGACCACTACTCGCTGACGTCTTTCGCTCAAATAGTCGGAGAACCAGTTCAATAATGAACAGGAGATACCATGTTGTTGAAGTTTCAAAAGAAGGTTTCGATGAGAAACAGAATCAAAGGCTTTGGAGAAGCCGAAGTAAACCATGTCAGCTTCCTTTACCGAGTCTAGGGCTTTACCAACGTCGTGGAAAACACGAAGAAGTTGGGTGACACACGAACGTCTTTTGCGGAAACCATGTTGCAGATTACTCGGTGATGATTCAACAAATTCCGACACGTGCAAATGCACAACTTGCGCGAGAAGTTTGGACATTATCTTACATTTGTATAATGGCTACGAATCTATCGGCGAGTAATCAGATTTGATGTGCACGAGTACGACATGCAATGACACACGATGTACTATTCAAATTTTGAAAAAAAATGCATCTTTATAATATCTCTCTATGTCATTACAATCGCGCAGTCATTACAATAGGTTGTATTTTTCTCATATCTCCAGAAATTCGCACGACGAATTTCTTTGTCTTTTTCCTCATGAATTATTAGTGAATTCATTTGCTGTATTTTTCCTTATTTCAACATTGATAATATTTCACTATTAATAGGTAGGTTGATAGCTGAATGTTGACACTCACTAGAGCGGCAGCGAACAGTATAATATACAATACCTGGATACACAAAACGTTATTTACATAAGCGTTAGGTACGAGGGAGGGGGGGGCATGAAGTGGGGAAAATGCCCCCTCCCCCAAAGAAAAGTATTTTAGAAAACCATTGAAATTATATTTGGGCAAATGTTATGAAAAATTGAGAAAATGTGGGTAGATTTATCAGAAAATTTGTCAATTAGCTATATATATATACCGGTTATTTCATTACAATACTTCATAAAAATTCGGACAAACCTTCAACTGCCCCCAGCAAAGAACCAGCCCCGTATACGCCTATACGGACATTTATTTGTCACAGTGTCAGGGTAGTTCTCAAAAGCGAATAAAAAAGCTAATGTCAGTTTGATTGCGCATGCAGCAAATAAACCGCATGCAAGGCTTTATAAAATGCCGTAAGTGCAATTTTGCCTACTCATCTCAACCACTAATTAATAATTATTATTATCCCCGAGCCGACGGCGCGAAGCGCCGTGCGAGGGTACTAATTCCCCCCGGCTATTTACACCCGGGGAAACGAAAGCATTAGCGGAGTCTAAAGTTCATCAAATATCGCGGACGTGGGTGACCAACGATGGGTGGTCATCCTGACTGATCTCAAAAATATGGCGGACTGTCATGAATAGCGGACTCTGATTGGTCCAATTTAAATTTTGCATTATAACGACTGGCACGAATGTATCACGACAGCGAAATAGCAAACATTTCTTGATTTGATGATTGATAAATTTCTTGCAAATATATTTCATTTTTACTCGCATTTTTGCAAGATTTCTCTCTCCTCCGCAGAGGCTTTAGTTTTCTTAGGATTTAATATTACGATGAGATACATTTCACTACACTTTACATGGCGGATCTTGAAACACGAGCGTAGCCGCTGGGCGAAGGAGCGCAGGAGTAGAGAGGCAAGATTTTGTAAATTTCAAAAGCTCTCTCAAAATGAAACTGCGAAAGAATCGTCTAAAAGAAGGGAGCCGACGTTAACGAAGGTAAGTTTGTTTTAAATATTGATTTTATAATGGCTTTAAAACCCGACGGCCTTTGCGTATATGAAACAACTAAACAAACAGCATATAATTTTAGTGTATCTTTAATATTGATTCCCTTCTTTATGTGAGTTATTTGCAAGCCAGAATTTGAAATCATTTTATTGCTAACTCAAAGTTTATCGATAAAGCCATTTTAAAAGGCAGTTTAGTTTTATAATGAACACTAGTGACTTTAAAACGTTTTGCGAAGCGTTTGTGGTTGAATTTTACCTTAAATTGAGGCTTATATTACGTATAAAAACATACCTAACATATATTTATGTTGGGAAATTAATAATTTTGTAGTTAAAAGTGATATTTTTAGGCGATTTTTCATTTGTAAGAATATTCTTAAAAAATTATCGTGTTACCATGACAACTACTTTAGAACTTCATGTTCGGAAAATACAATGGTTTTGTCAGCAAGGCGAGGGTTTCTGCATGCATGTATTTTCTAGTACATTTAATATGTATTCTCGTTTCTTATTGGTCAGAAAGCACCGGCTAATTTTCAGTATTCGGCATTTATTACGTATTTTCCGCCGATGACGTCATCAGCGTCCAATAATTGTTGGGTTTTTTTATCGAACTTGCCTCCAAAAAAAAATTATTCGACTCTTTCGTTCCCAAGCCATTGCGCGGCCAAAAGTTTGAACCTCTAAGAGCGCGAAGAAAAACAAACAAACAATGGCCTACAGCAGATTTGCTTCGCTGAATGAAAGTGAACTCTCCAAATTATTGGCATATAAGGATAGTGAAAGCACGAAAAAAGCCACAAAGGGGTAAATAGAAGTAGAAATAGAATATTTAGCTGACCTTTGACTTTGTGCAAGGTGTTTGATGTTCAAATTGTACTTTTCCTACCTCATGAACAGGAATCGTTTTATACGTTTCTCATGTCTTTAAATGTATAATAAAACAATTATTGCATTCGGCTTTCGCATGATATCAAGAATTATTCAGACCTCGATCTATGTTATCCGCGCCAGCTTCGCTTCCGCAGATAGCATTGACCTCGGTCTGAATAATTCTTGATATCATGCTCAGCCTCATCCAATAATTGCTTAGTTTTTCTAAAATTGTTGACGACTCAATACTCGTATATTTTAGATTTTTGCCTTTCCATCCAATTCAAGTTTAGCATACTGCGAAAACAATTTCCCGTCTGGATGCACTAATTTTCCGAAAGCATGACGATTTGCACGGAGGAAGGGGGTGGGGGTCCACTCCTCCACAAATGCCTCTAGCGAGGCCCCTGGCGGTTTATGTGTTCATATGAGCGTTTTTATTTCACCTCATATCTCGACGAAATTATGGAAACATGGGCGTTTTCGAAATATTTTTGTTGTAATTAAACAAGCTGCAGCTTGCATTATGACTTTAATAATGTTCGTTTACGTCTATTAATGTTTACTTTTTTATTTTTCCAATTTCACTCTCTTTAATAATAATTATAAATATTTTATGTCGAATGGGCAAAAAATGTGCTTTCTGGTCAGATGGGACAAAACCTTCATATAGAAAATTGTATCCCAATTGATTGAGATCTCACCTAGCTGCATGACCTAGCTCGCTTCTAATTCCGACGAGTTTCCTGGTCAGTTTTGCTCCTATGAACAGACCCTATATATAATTTATATAATAAGTGACACCATCATTTGAATATGTCAAATAAACATGATTGCTTTATTCATTTCATCTTACAACAAACATGAGATCAACCGTTTTTCTATTCCAGATTAAAGAAAAGTGCCATTTCAAATGCTTTAATTAAACCGACTTCCGTCAAGATATCCAAGTTTAGCGTATTTCTTTGTTTCGTGAGCACTGGAGTGGAACTAATGAATGACTTCGACAAAATGCTACGGTGCAAATATAATCTTGCCTCCCATCAGCACTTTTATCTACTTACAAAATTAAAAGTCGCGCAGAAGAGTCAAGTTTGATTAATTGTCGTAATCCAATTGTAAATTTATATTAATATCTCTACGGAATATATTATTTGTCAAACATGATTTTAAAATTATTAAAATGCGTACGCGAGTCATTTACAGGGTAGAAAACCTGGCGTACTTTAACGGCAAGGAAATTCTAAGATGAACGGAACAGTTGAAACAAATTTTTCAAGCACATTGATCAGTTTAATCTGCTATACAACCATTGAAGTGTTTGGCTTGTGTGGTAATATTCTTGTCATCTTGACGGTTTACAGTGGTCGGCGTCGTTTTCAAGCAAACTATTATCTCCTTGTACTTCATCTTGCTATCTGCGATATACTTTTACTACTGACAGGAAATCTCATATTTACAGTAGGACCTTGGATAGAAAATCAATATTGGTTCAATAACCTGGGGACTGTATCATGCGTCATAATTTCCCCACTAGTCAGTAGTCTCTTTAATACAGAGCTGGCGATTTTAGTCGTGATTGCAATTCTTCGTCACAAAGCTGTTACACAGCCACTTCAACCAAGATTAAGCGGGAAAAAGCTGCAATATATCATTGCATTGCTTTACATTGTTCCCTTATTTTTGAATATGCCAAAATGTTTCTCACAAGAATTTACTAGTTCAGTGATATGTAGTAATAAATGGCAAGATAACATATATTTTTATATATATGGTTGGGTTGTCAATATTGCTGTTACACTGGTCTCCATGATGTTTCTAATAGTGCTTTATGCGAAGATGTGTTACTCATTGGCTCTTCATCAGAAAAACCGAAGGAGATTATTTTCCACACAAACAACAAATTCCTTCAAGAATTCAACAGAAAGAGTAACCACAAGTCATCAACATTTGCGCATTGAAAAAAATACAAAAATGATAACTGTCAGCGTGGTAGTTCTAGCACAGTTCTTCGTAGCAGTTTTACCATTATCGGTGATAGGAAGACTTAACCGCGCATTTGGTGGTGACGAATATAATTTTCATTTGATGTGGATGATGCCGGTATATTTTCTTGTATCTTGCTCATTCAATCCTATCGTGTATGGAATTGGAGACAAAACAATCCGTGAAGGATACAAAATCGCGCTACATAAAATATATTATTGTAAATGAGGAGTTAAAAATATTTTTTGCTTATGGTATTGTATTGATTACGCAAAAATTATCATACAAAAATTCGTAAAATAATTGAATGCCATCAGTTGAAGAGTTGGACTAAATTAGAACAGGATGAGCCGGAGGTGATAAGACTTTCATGTGTATCGTTGAAAACTTATCGTAGCAGTTTAGTTCCCAGAAATCTTGCCAACGAAATGGAGCGGAAAAAACTACATGATACTGTTGTCAATATAAAGGATCCACCAAGATCGCCATTTAATTAATTTTTCGTTTAACCATTAGACCAGTAGGAAAAATATTTCTCATACGTTTTTCTTCTCAAATCAACTTCAATCAAGAGAATCACTTTATAGAATACGTCATGACCAACAGTTTTACAAGGTATATAAATATAATACCATGTGTACTCTCTTTGAGAAATTAAATGTAATAGTACCGAGTTTTTTGATAGTTTTAGCAACCAAGCCTGACCAGTCTCGTTTTGGTATGTTTTCCACAATTGAAAGGGCTATAATTTCAGTTGCATTGATTTTTTCAATCTTAAAT